CCCCTGGTGTAGGCTAACAAAGGGAAGGATTAGGGGAGAAACGATAGCATCTTCCAATCCTTGAAGGGCTGCCACAGAAAAGAGAGCATCGATTTATTCGCCAAAGCATCAGTGGACAGGACACCTCTCTCCCTCTCTCCGATCTTCTGCTCACCTGGCAAGCTGGCTTCAAGCTGTTCTCCAACAAGCTGACACACATTGTTATTGGGCTGGTTCTCTCCTGCCCTTCCTGCTTCCTGCAGAGATGCAGCAAAGGGAGGAGCCCCGCCCAATAAGCTTGTCAGCTTGTCGAACAGCGTGAGGCCACTCTCTTTTTTATACACACACACACACACACACACAGAGAGAGAGAGAGAGAGAGAGAGAGAGAGAGAGAGAGAGAGAGAGAGAGAGAGAAGGGAAGGGAAGCATAAGTGCCTCTCTCTGTCTCTGTCAATCTCTCTCTGCAAATGGCAGAGGAGGCTGGGAGCCGCAGGAGAGGGCTCAAAGAGCCACATGTGGCTCCGGAGCTGCGGGTTGCCTGCCTGAGCAAGGGACTGGACTAGGGTTTCCTGCCTGAGCAAGGGACTGGACTAGATGACCTCCAAGGTCCCTTCCAGCTCTATTCTATTCTATTCTATTCTATTCTATTTTTTCCAAAGATGTGGACCCAACTTGACCGGCCTTTGGACAAGGTCGGTGAGGATGATTGAGGACTAAACATTAAGCTATCTAATGAGAGGTTGAGGGAATTGGAAAAGTTTAGTGTGGAGAAAATAGGACTGGAAGGGGATATAATAGGTCCCTGCAGGTCTCTGGAAGGATGGCCAAGAGAAGTCAAGACCTCTTTCTCTGTCACTTTGTAATAATGGATTTTTAAAAATAGAATGGAGGGTTTCAGGTGAATTTTAGAAAAAAGGGGGGAAAAACCAGTAAGAGTGATTTGACAGAGGAGGCAATTATCAAGAGAGAAGGTAGAGATTGCTCTGCTTCACTGGATGCATTCAAGCATTATTTGGGCAGCCATCTGTCAGAGGTAGTTTAATTTGGATCCCTGTGTAGAACAAGGAGATGATCTTTCTGAACTGAGGTAACCTCCCCATCACAAGACCCATCACAAGAGCCTCACTGGTGACTCACACCTGACCCATCACAAGACCCATCACAAGACTCTCACTGGTGACTCACACCTGACCCATCACAAGACCCATCACAAGACCCTCACTGATGACTCACACCTGACCCATCACAAGACTCATCCCTCGACACACCCACACCTGCACCTCTTATAAGCAGAAGAACATCGACATTGACATCCCCTAAACTCCGCTGAAAACGTTACCTAACCTGGTAATGAAACATTCGGAAACTGACCCACAAAAGCTCGGAGAACATAATAAAAGCCCAGTCTAGCGCAATACCACAAAGAAGAAAAATAACAGCTCTCAAAAGAAACCAGCATGGCTGCATAAAGAACTCTCTGATAAATTGAAAGATAAAAAGGACAAGTATAGAAAGTAGAAAGAGGGGCACATAACTAAGACAGACCTCCAAGGTCCCTTCCAATTTTTTATTATTATTATTATTATTATTATTATTATTATTATTATTATTATTATTATTATTATTATAAGTCTTTACCCTCATGATCTTTATGGCCTAAGTGACTCTTCCAGCTAAGCGTTTGGTGATCTTTGAGAAGCTCCTAGGACATTAATTTGGAAAAACCACATTTCTTCTCTGAGGAAGATCTTAGAAAAAATTATCCATTACATGGCATCATCTCAAAGTAAGGTCTCTATAATATTAAGTCTACAGGTAAGATCATCTCATGCTTGAGGTCCAGAATGACCTCTCCGTGAGGTCCAGAGTGACCTCGGTGAGCGTCCCCAATTAGTTTGGTCTAGTGAGTAAAGCACTGTTTTTTTTCACTGTTCAGTGAAAGTGGGCAACTGTGAATTCTAGTCCTCCCTTAGGCTGGGTGACTTTGGACCAAGCATCAGGAGCCTGTGAGTTCTAGTCCCACCTAGGCATAAAAGCCAGACAGGTGACTTTTGTCCAATCACTAGAAGCCTGTAAGTTCTAATGCAGTTCTAGGCATGTAGACCACCCCGGGTGACTTTGGGCCAATCATCAGGAGTCTGTGAGTTCTAGTTCTGTTTTAAATAGAGTGACTTTGGGCCGATCACCAGGAGACGGTGAGTTCTAGTTCTGCTTTAGGTAGAGTGACTTTGGGCCAATCACCAGGAGACGGTGAGTTCTAGTTCTGCTTTATGTAGAGTTGCTTTGGGCCAATCACCAGGAGACGGTGAGTTCTAGTTCTGCTTTATGTAGAGTTGCTTTGGGCCAATCACCAGGAGACGGTGAGTTCTAGTTCTGCTTTAGGTAGAGTGACTTTGGGCCAATCACCAGGAGATGGTGAGTTCTAGTTCTGCTTTAGGTAGAGTGGCTTTGGGACAATCACTAGGAGACGGTGAGTTCTAGTTCTGCTTTAGGTAGAGTGGCTTTGGGCTAATCACCAGGAAACGGTGAGTTCTAGTTCTGCTTTAGGTAGAGTGACTTTGGGCTAATCACCAGGAGACGGTGAGTTCTAGTCCCACCTTAGGCATGGAAGCCAGCTGGGTGACCTTGGGACAGCCCCTCTCTCCCTCTCCCTCAGACCAACCCACCTGACAAGGTTGTTGTTGCGGGGAAACTAAGAGGAGGAAGGTGCGTCTGATACGCCTTGAACTATTTATAAAGGCGCATCACTGCCTTGAACTATTTATAAAAATAACAAAGGCAGGATACAAATAAATAAACAAATACTCTATGATTTTATGGTTTAGCTCTGGAAGAACGACCTAAAAACAGCACATGGGAACGAACCTGCAATAGTGGCTTGTCTGCGCTGATATTTTTGAAATGCACTGAAGGCTTCTTTGTTCTCTGTCTACTTCAGCCCCGCTATGAACTTTTTTTCAAGAGCACAATTATGAAAACAGGCCAAAGGATTTGTTTGAAAGCCTGCCTGACTGATACGTTTCAATGACAACCCGCTTCCAAATATTCAGCATTTCACATAATAATAAGAGACACCCAGAAGCGATGAGGCCTGCAGTCCACTCGTGTCAGATTAAAAACATTTATTCTCTAAGCACTGAGATATCGTTCCAAAAACCACATTCTACAAAAACCGGCCGGCTTTTTTTTTTTTTTTTAAGTCCCATCGAATTCTGAACACCCTGTGGACTAAAAGGTACAATTAACTAGATGGGTAAGTAATCAGGTTTCAATTTTTTTTTAATTTTATTTTTAGTGTACTGTTTCCAAATGATTGATTCCTGTGGACTTCAAGACAACAGATCAATCAATTCAGTTTTGTTATTCTGCTTTATTTTTTTCGGCTGCTTTTTAAATAGGCGTTCTTTGTTTTGGTGGCTATGAATGCTAATTTTTCCCTGACTGATGAGAAAATAAGGCGGGAGGAGGGAGGGTGGGTGGGGGAAGAAAGGAATAAATACAAATATTTATATTTATTCATGGGATATTGAAGGATACGTGATACATTGGCATGGCGTGCCACTTGGCTGTGTGGCTGTTTTACAACAGAGACGTTTTTTGCTGCATTTGTTGATTAGAAATAATCTCCCGTTCTAACTGACATGAATTGGAAGAATTAGAACTACTGGTTTGCTAAAAAAAAACCCAAAACCAAAATATAAGGTACTGGATAAACAAAAGAGAATAGTTGTGGCTTAAGTTTGAACTGTGGGTTTCTAGGTGCTACCTCTCAGCTTGGTGGTTATCTTGCAGACGTTTCATTACCCAAATAGGTAACGTTATCAGTGCTAGAAGAGAGTGGAAATTTGGTTCTCTTTATATACAAGTGGCTTGCCCTGTCAATGATGGTGAGAATCAGTGGTGGGATTCAGCTGGTTCGCACCGGTTCGGCAGAACCGGTAGCTAAATTTTGTTGAGTTCAGAGAACTGGCTGAATGCACCCTGCTTCCAGAAGTCTGTTCTAGGTATCGGAGGCCTCCCAGGCCTAGAATGGCCCACCAGAAGTGCATGGATGCCACTTCCGGAAGTCCTTTCTAGGCCTGGGAGGACTCCCAGTCCTAGAACAGCCTGCTGGAAGTGCGTGGACACCATTTCCTGAAGTCTGTTCTAGGTCTCAGAGGCCTGGGCGGAACTCCAAGGCCTAGAATGGCCCACCGGAAGTGTGTGGATGCCACTTCCGGAAGTCCGTTCTAGGCCTCGGAGGCCCAGGCCTCCATCCATGCAGAGAACTGGTTGTTCAGGTATTTGAATTCCACCACTGGTGAGAGATACTGGTAAGTAGAGATTAATACCAAGATTAATACTAGACCAGCAATCAAGAAGTAAGCAACACTCCAATGAAGGAACTAGCAACTCAGACAGATAATCAAATAGTAATCAAAGAACCACCCAGAATATCTCCACCAACATGGTCAGAACAAACCACTAGTAAATAAACAGAGAGGAAACCCCACTCTCTTCTAGCACTGATGATGTTACCTAGTTGGGTCATGAGACATCTGCATATAAACAACCAAGCTCAGGGAGCTAAATGGAACATATAAAGGAGATTGGGATTGATTGTCACATGACTGCACTTCGGCGCTCGGCCACACAACTGCATTTACAGCCATTTGAGGCGTCTCGCAGTCACGCGGCTGCGCTTACGATGGTTTTGCCAAAAACCTGCATTTACTTCTGTTTTTTGGAAAACCGCAGCATAGCAAACAATGGATTTGCTTAACAACCGCGGCATTCGCGTTTGCGATCACTGCATTTGCTTAATGATTGGAAAAACATCGTTGCGACGTCTGGCCGTAATGGGCAGCCTCTAATTATAGTAATCACTATACTTATAGTCTTAATTATAGTCATAACTCGCGGACTACCTATAAAGACAAGGCAGGTTGATTGGAATCTTTTAGAAGCTGAAAACGCCTATCCACCCGCCACGGATGGCATCATTGAAAGTGTCAATTCCTCCCAGTTCCAGTATGTACCTGTCTTCGTAGATCTCTCGTCTTCTTGGTCATCTTATCAATTGCTATGTTCAGCGGGTCTCCTTTCTCCTTCCTTCCAGTCTGTTAAAACAAAAACAAAAAACATATATTAAGAAATTAAACGGGAATAAAAGACTGTAGAGGTATAAACAACAGGTAGTCCTTGAATTAATTATTTGTTTGGTGACCGTTTGAGGTTTCAACAGCACGGAAAAAAGCAACTTAGGACCCGTTTTCACACTTACGACCGTTGCAGCATCCCCATGGTCATGCGATCAAGATTTCAAGCTTGCGTTTATGATGATCGCAGCATCCCGGGGTCAAGGGATCCCCTTTTGCAACTTCTGACAACCAAAGTCAATGGGAGAAGCCAGATTCACTTAACAACCATGTCACTAGCTTAAGAATTGTAGTGATTCACTTAACAACTGTGGCAAAAAAAGTCGTAAAGCAGGGCAAAACTCACTTAACTTGCTGAGTGATGGAAATTTGGGCTCAATTCTGGTCGTAAGTCAAGGGATACCTATACCAGTAGTAGCAAACCTATGGTACGAGTGCCAGAGGCAGCACTCGGAGCCCTCTCTGTGGGCATGCCGCTGTCGCCCCAGCCCCGCCCCCCCCACAGCCCCCTCCTCACCAGCAGCCCCCCTGCAGGAGAGTCGCCCCCTGGGTGCAGCCCCCCCGGAGCAGTGCAGCCAAGCACATGGCAACTGGACAGCAGATGATGCTGCAGGGCGTGAGCGGAGGGCGTGGCCACCATGGCGCTGGGTGATCCGCGGTGGGCCGTGGATGGCCCTGAGGCCAGGTGGGGTGAGGGCGGAGCAGGGCGGGGGTGGGCAGCCGGAATGGGGGTGGGCCGGGGCTGGGGCGGTTTTTGGGCACTCGGTCTCGCATTACCCTATTACAGATACACATCACTCAAAGGATGGCATCAACAAAACATATGTGGACCAGTAGATCTCTGCCTGCTAAAGTGAATCAAGGAATCTCCACACGCTCTCTCCTGGATCTTAATAACCTTCCAGAAAAAAGCAAGCAAAAACAAAACCTTTGCAAATGAGGCTATGGTATCACACAAGGACATTTATGATCACTGCATACTTGGGGTGTCACTGTATCAGTTCAGAACTTTTTCTGCCCCAAGCACTACTGATCTGGTATATTTAAAAGATCTCTACTCCTTCCTGTATATGTTGATACCAATGGCCATCCTTCTCTACCAGACTCCGCCCATTCAACTGTGCTGTCCCGCTCACTCGCACGCACAGACAACGGTGGTTTAGTGGGTTGATTAATATTCCCCCGCAACTGCCTTCAACAAAAATCCAGAACTGTCACACTTTTAAGCCCACAAAAAAACCAGAAAACACACAGCTAAGAAATGAACGTTTTTCCCAGCATAACCTCTCTCTCTCTCTCTCTGCTGTACTAAATAGCCAGCTTCTGGTGCAGCCCATCAAGAAGGTCAAGGCTGCCTCCTCATGAGTAATCTGGCTGGCCTTCTCTGCTCCTGCCTTTTCTCTGCCCTACGTGTCCTCGGATCAGGTGCAGAAGGCAGTTCCTTATTGCTGACCCACTGCAGCTGTGTGCTTTCCCCACCTGAAGCCTCAGGGCTTTCCCCACTCTAAGGAGGTTCATCTGGCGGGACCGAGCAGAAGGGCCTTCTCTGTGGTGGCTCTTTCCTTTTGGAACATCATCCCTGTCGAGATTAGGCTGCCTCAAACCTTGACACTCTTTCACAAGGTCCTGAAGACCTGGTTTTGCCAATAGGCCTGGGGGAACCCAGATGTCAACGCTGCTAACATCGGATGTTCTTGCTTTGACTAAATACGCAAAGGCAGCCACTCTCTGTATAAGCCAGGGCTTTTCAACCAGTGGTACGCGTACCATTAGTGATACGTTGGCACCTAGCAGGTGGTACGCATACTACGTGGTTGAACAGCACTGTAAAAAAAAGTGTAAAAGTGGATGAGGTGAAGCAGCAGCAGCGCCACACAGGCTTGTGGGAAAGTCAGCTGGAACTGCACGTCGCCTGGGTCCTACTGAGAGCGCAGGATCAAAGCGCGCAGCTCCAGCTGATTGGCGGCGGCCTTGGGGGCAGCAGGCAGCCTCATGCAGTCTTCGGGTAGAAATTCAGCTGCATGAGGCATTGCCTGCCTGGGTCCTGTGGAGAGCCCAGGATCAGTGCATGCACCTCCAGCTGATTGGGGGTGGCAGGCAGCCTCGCGCAGTCTTCAGGCAGAGATTCAGCTGGAGCTGCGAGAGGCATTGTCTAGGTCAGTGGTTCTCAACCTTTTTAATGCCGCGACCCCAACCGGTCGTAAGTCGAGGACTAAACCGGTCGTAAGTCGAGGACTAAACCAGTCGTAAGTCGAGGACTAAACTGGTCATAAGTCGAGGACTAAACCGGTCGTAAGTCGAGGGCTACCCAACCGGTCGTCAGTCGAGGACTTTCCCTGCCCGGGAGCGCCGTGCATGTGTGTTTCCGCCCCCTGCGCCGGCTGAGGCGTAGCTGGCAAGTGGCAGAGACGGAGCAGGCCGACCACCAGCTGGCCCAGCCCAAGGGAGGTAAGGCACCCGCTGGAAAAGGGGTAAAAAAATGGCGGACAAAAAAAATGGCGGACAGCCTTGCTTGGCAACCCCCATGAAATGGTCGATCGACCCCAAATGGGGTCCCGACCCACAGGTTGAGAACCACTGGTCTAGGTCCTGCTGAAGGAGAAAGAAGAGATGATATTAAAGGGGGTGGGGGAAGAGATGATATTAAAAGGGGTGGAGGAAGAGATGATATTAAAGGGAGTGAGAGAGGACTACCTGTAGTTTATCACTTTTTTCCATTATTTTTTTTTAGGTCATCAAGTTTTTGACACCTTGCTAGGTGACTGGTGGTACTTGAATACTGCCATATTCTAAAAGTGGTACAATCGGTGAAAAGATGGAAAAGCCCTGGTATAAGCTGTGTGGTATTTTTAGAGTTAAATTAGATGATGATGCTGGGAGGGGAGGAGAAAGAATGTGTGTGGGGATTAATTAAGATAAGGAATAGGCTGGCTACAGAAACGGAAGGGAACCTTTGCCCTTCAAACTGATTGGAGAACGTGATTTATGACAGCAAATTAAGGGAGGGAATTATGCTGGCAAAATATGTGCTCAGGGGAGGGGAATTCAGATCTTGGCATCCCTCCATGCCGTGCCGACACTGTGTTACATGATTAAAGACTTTTTTAGGATAAACAGTGCCTGAAAGTTCTTTGAAGTGTTCCATTAGTCGGAACCATGACACCAGAGTGGGACGGAGCCCATTAAACTTCTTATTTGACTGATTATTGTTGCTAAGGAGATAGGGATGGGTCTTGTTTTTATATTTTTTGATTTTTGTAAGCCGCCCAGAATTACCGAGCGTGAGTAGCCATATAAATTATGAACGAATGAGACTTAGATGTGACAATCTTGAGAAAAGCCCTTTCTCTTCTTGAAGTCCCACCCTGTATGTTTAGTTGTCCTCCAACTGGCTTTGTATCAATTGATTTCCACTCTTCCCAAAGGGAAAGATTGCAAGGTGACGATAATCTGCACGCTGGCACTGCAGGAAAAGGTCTGCAAATTTAGGTCCTGTTCCCAGTGAAATAATCCATCCTACGGGGGGGATTTAGCAAAGGATTTAGCCTTTGTGGACAATTTTTGCTTTCCTCCCCACTCCTAGCATTCATGAAAACACTCAGCAAATCTAGAGTGTTTAGAGTGCTGCTAGAGAAGGACATTTATGTAACACCCTGGCTTGGCTGAGCAACTCAATGGCTTGAACAACTCACAGTGTGTTACATCAAGAACTTGAAGAGTGCAATGCACAGCTGGGTGATTGGAAGCGTCTATTATCCTAAAAGATCTGCGCTCCAGTAAATTGCCTCTTCCCTGAATGATCCCGTGGAATATCAAGCCCCAAAGAACCAAGAACAACACACCGTTACTTCTGAGTAGTTAGCAATGGCATTTAGGCTTATATACCGCCTCATAGTGCTTTACTGCGGTCCCCGGGGAATTTGCTACGTAGAAGCATTATTTGCCCCCAACAATCTGGGTCCTCATTTTACCGACCTCAGAAGGATGGAAGACTGAGACAACCTTGAGGTCCGTCAGGATCGGACTCCAGGCTGAAGGCAGAGTTTGTCTGCAATACTGCACTTCAACCACTGCGCCACCATGGCTGGTAGTCCCTTGATTGTTGTTCGCCTACAGACAGAATCTTGCCAGACTAAAGCAACTATCTCCAATAACTGTAGATGTATTCTGAGAATTGCTAGGGAGTCTGCAGCTTAGCTCTCTTCCTGACCACCAGACAGTCTAAGTTCCGCTGTCTCTTTGAAAAAGAGCCCCTCCCTCCTGCAACTCCAGACTACATTCCACTACACGATCCAGGTTTGCTGTGGGATCTTGATAGCGTCCCTAGTCCTTAAAAAGCTGTGGCCATTTCTGAAAACTCAGTCTTCAATGAGTACAAACAAGCTTATGGTCTTCTGTCAATCATTAATTTCACCGACCAGAATTAAAAAATGAAAGAATAAAACAGAACAATCCATCCATCCATCCATCCATCCATCCATCCATCCATCCATCCATCCACCTGTCTGTCTGTCTGTCTGTCTGTCTGTCTGTCTGTCTGTCTGTCTGTCTGTCTGTCTGTCTATCTATCTATCTATCTATCTATCTATCCATCCATCCATCCATCCATCCATCCATCCATCCATCCATCCATCTACCTACCTACCTATCTCTGTCTGTCTGTCTATCTGTCTGTCTATCTGTCTATCTGTCTATCTGTCTATCTATCTATCTATCTATCTATCTATCTATCTATCTATCTATCTCCTTCCTTTCTTATTTTTACAAGGCAGCAAACATATCCAACACACATTCCTCCTCCTCTTTCCACCCTACAACAACCCTGTGAGGTGGGTTGGGCTTACCATGGCACTAAAAATGTGACTTATGACCGTTTTTCACAGTTACGAACTTTGCAGCAACCCCGTGGTCACGTGATCAAAAATCAGACACTTGGCAACTGACTCCTATTTATGACGGTC